ATTGAGTTGTCTGGGCCTCACCTGGGTCTCACCTGGGCTTCTGTGTGTGTGTTGCAGGGATGGGGTGCATTGAGCTGTCTGGGCCTCCACCTGGGTCTCACCTGGGCTTCTGTGTGTGTGTGTTGCAGGGGATGGGGTGTATTGAGTGTCTGGGCCTCACCTGATCCTCACCTGGGCTTGTGTGTGTGTGTTGCAGGGGATGGGGTGTATTGAGTGTCTGGGCCTCACCTGGGTCTCACCTTTGCTTCTCTCTGTGTGTGTTGAAGGGGATGGGGTGTATTGAGTGTCTGGGCTCCCACCTGGATCTCACCTGGGCTCTCTGTGTGTGTTGCAGGATGGGGTGTATTGAGTGTCTGGGCCTCACCTGCATCTCACACCTGGGTCTCACCTGGGCTTCTTGTTTTAGTGTGTGTTAGCAGGGATGGGGTGTATTGAGTTGTCTGGGCCTCACCTGCATCTCACCTGGGTCTCCCACCTGGGCTTCTGTGTGTGTGTTGCAGGGGATGGGGTGTGTATTGAGTGTCTGGGCCTCACCTGGATCTCCACCTGGGCTTCTGTGTGTGTGTTGCAGGGGATGGGGTGTATTGAGTGTCTGGCCTCACCTGATCTCACCTTTGCTTCTCTCTGTATGTGTTGCAGGGGATGGGGTGTATTGAGTTGTCTGGGCCTCACCTGGGTCTCACCTGGGCTTCTGTGTGTGTGTTGCAGGGGATGGGGTGTATTGAGGTTCTGGGCCTCACCTGGATCTCACCTGGGCTTCTGTGTGTGTGTGTTGCAGGGGATGGGGTGTATTGAGTGTCTGGGCCCCACCTGGGTCTCACTTGGGCTTCTCTGTATGTGTTGTAGGGGATGGGGTGTATTGAGTTGTCTGGGCCTCACCTGGATCTCACCTGGGCTTCTCTGTGTGTGTTGCAGGGGATGGGGTGTATTGAGTGTCTGGGCCTCACCTGGGTCTCACCTTTGCTTCTCTCTCTGTGTGTTACAGGGGATGGGGTGTATTGAGTGTCTGGGCCCCACCCTGGGTCTCACCTGGGCTTCTCTGTGTGTGTGTTGCAGGGGATGGGGTGTATTGAGTGTCTGGGCCCTCACCTGGATCTCACCTGGGCTTCTCTGTGTGTGTGTGTTGCAGGGGGATGGGGTGTATTGAGTTGTCTGGAGCCTCACCTGATCCTCACCTGGGCTTCTCTGTGTGTGTTGCAGGGATGGGGTGTGATTGAGCTGTCTGGGCCTCCCACCTTGATCTCACCTGGGCTCTCTCTGTATGTGTTACAGGGGATGGGGTGTATTGAGTTGTCTGGGCCTCACCTGCATCCTCACCTGGGTCTCACCTGGGCTTCTCTGTTTGTGTATTACAGGGATGGGGTGTATTGAGTTGTCTGGGCCTCACCTGCATCCTCTCACCTGGGTCTCACCTGGGCTTCTGTGTGTGTGTTGCAGGGGATGGGGTGTATTGAGTGTCCTGGGCCTCACCTGGATCTCACCTGGGCTTCTCTCTGTATGTGTTACAGGGGATGGGGTGTATTGAGTGTCTGGGCCTCACCTGGATCTCACCTGGGCTTCTCTCTGTATGTGTTACAGGGGATGGGGTGTATTGGAGTGTCTGGGCCTCACCTGATCTCACCTGGGCTTCTCTCTGTATGTGTTACAGGGGATGGGGTGTATTGAGTTGTCTGGGCCACACCTGGGTCTCACCTGGGCTGTCTCTGTGTGTGTGTTGCAGGGGATGGGGTGTTTTGAGTGTCTGGGCCCCACCTGGATCTCACCTGGGCTTCTCTCTGTATGTGTTACAGGGATGGGGTGTATTGAGTTGTCTGGGCCTCACCTGCATCTCACCCTTGGTCTCACCTGGGCTTCTCTGTTTGTGTGTTACAGGGGATGGGGTGTATTGAGTTGTCTGGGCCTCACCTGCATCTCACCTGGAGTCTCACCTGGGCTTCTGTGTGTGTGTTGCAGGGGATGGGGTGTATTGAGTGTCTGGGCCTCACCTGGATCTCACCTGGGCTTCTCTGTGAGTGTTGCAGGGGATGGGGTGTATTGAGTGTCTGGGCCTCACCTGGGTCCTCCACCTTTGCTTCTCTCTGTATGTGCTTGCAGGGGATGGGGTGTATTGAGTTGTCTGGGCCTCACCTGGATCTCACCTGGGCTTCTCTGTGTGTGTGTTGCAGGGGATGGGGTGTATTGAGTGTCTGGGGCCCCACCTGGATCTCACCTGGGCTTCTCTCTGTATGTGTTACAGGGATGGGGTGTATTGAGCTTGTCTGGGCCTCACCTGGATCTCACCTGGGCTTCTCTGTGTGTGTTGCAGGGGATGGGGTGTGATGAGTGTCTGGGCCTCACCTGGATCTCACCTGGGCTTCTCTCTGTATGTGTTACAGGGGATGGGGTGTATTGAGTTGTCTGGGCCTCACCTGCATCTCACCTTGGTCTCACCTGGGCTTATCTGTTTGTGTGTTACAGGGGATGGGGTGTATTGAGTTGTCTGGGCCTCACCTGCATCTCACCTGGGTCTCACCCTAGGCTTCTGTGTGTGTGTTGCAGGGGATGGGGTGTATTGAGTGTCTGGGCCTCACCTGGGTCTCCACCTTTGCTTCTCTCTGTGTGTGTGTTGCAGGGATGGGGTGTATTGAGTGTCTGGGCCTCACCTGCATCCCTCACCTGGGTCTCACCTGGGCTTCTCTGTGTGTTACAGGGGATGGGGTGTATTGAGTTGTCTGGGCCTCACCTGGGTCTCACCTGGGCTTCTGTGTGTGTGTTGCAGGGGATGGGGTGTATTGAGTGTCTGGGCCTCACCTGGGTCTCACCTGGGCTTCTGTGTGTGTTGTTGCAGGGGATGGGGTGTATTGAGTTGTCTGGGCCTCACCTGGGTCTCACCTGGGCTTCTGTGTGTGTGTTGCAGGGGATGGGGTGTATTGAGCTGTCTGGGCCTCACCTGGGTCTCACCTGGGCTTCTGTGTGTGTGTTGCAGGGGATGGGGTGTATTGAGTGTCTGGGCCTCACCTGGATCTCACCTGGGCTTCTGTGTGTGTGTTGCAGGGGATGGGGTGTATTGAGTGTCTGGGGCCTCACCTGGGTCCTCCACCTTTGCTTCTCTGTGTGTGTTGAAGGGGATGGGGTGTATTGAGTGTCTGGGCCTCACCTGGATCTCTACTGGGCTTCTCTGTGTGTGTGTTGCAGGGGATGGGGTGTATTGAGAGTCTGGGCCTCACCTGCATCTCACCTGGGTCTCACCTGGGCTTCTCTGTTTGTGTGTTACAGGGATGGGGTGTATTGAGTTGTCTGGGCCTCACCTGCATCTCACCTGGGTCTCACCTGGGCTTCTGTGTGTGTGTTGCAGGGGATGGGGTGTATTGAGTGTCTGGGCCTCACCTGGATCTCACCTGGGCTTCTGTGTGTGTGTGGCTGCAGGGGATGGGGTGTATTGAGTGTCTGGGCCTCACCCTGGATCTCACCTTTGCTTCTCTGTATGTGTTGCAGGGGATGGGGTGTATTGAGTTGTCTGGGCCTCACCTGGGTCTCACCTGGGCTTCTGTGTGTGTGTTGCAGGGGATGGGGTGTATTGAGTGTCTGGGCCCTCCACCTGGATCTCACCTGGGCTTCTGTGTGTGTGTTGCAGGGGATGGGGTGTATTGAGTGTCTGGGGCCTCACCTGGGTCTCACTTGGGCTTCTCTCTGTGGTATGTGTTGCAGGGATGGGGTGTATTGAGTTGTCTGGGCCTCACCTGGATCTCACCTGGGCTTCTCTGTGTGTGTTGCAGGGGATGGGGTGTATTGAGTGTCTGGGCCTCACCCTGGGTCTCACCTTTGCTTCTCTCTCTCTGTGTGTTACAGGGGATGGGGTGTATTGAGTGTCTGGGGCCTCACCTGGGTCTCACCTGGAAGGCTTCTCTGTGTGTGTGTTGCAGGGGATGGGGTGTATTGAGTGTCTGGGCCTCACCTGGATCTCACCTGGGCTTCTCTGTGTGTGTTTGTTGCAGGGGATGGGGTGTATTGAGTTGTCTGGGCCTCACCTGGGCCTCACCTGGGCTTCTCTGTGTGTGTTGCAGGGGATGGGGTGTATTGAGTTGTCTGGGCCTCACCTTGATCTCACCTGGGCTTCTCTGTATGTGTTACAGGGGATGGGGTGTATTGAGTTGTCTGGGCCTCACCTGCATCTCTCACCTGGGTCTCACCTGGGCTTCTCTGTTTGTGTATTACAGGGGATGGGGTGTATTGAGTTGTCTGGGCCTCACCTGCATCTCACCTGGGTCTCACCTGGGCTTCTGTGTGTGTTGCAGGGGATGGGGTGTATTGAGTTGGGCCTCACCTGGATCTCACCTGGGCTTCTCTCTGTATGTGTTTCAGGGGATGGGGTGTATTGAGTGTCTGGGCCTCACCTGGATCTCACCTGGGCTTCTCTGTATGTGTTACAGGGGATGGGGTGTATTGAGTGTCTGGGCCCTCACCTGGATCTCACCTGGGCTTCTCTCTGTATGTTTACAGGGGATGGGGTGTATTGAGTTGTCTGGGCCACACCTGGGTCTCACCTGTTTTACAGGGCGGGGTCTCTGTGTTGCCAGGGCAGGGGATGCATGTCTCTATGTTTTGAGTGTCTGGGCCTCACCTGGATCTCACCTGGGCTTCTCTGTTTATGTGTTACAGGGGATGGGGTGTATTGAGTTGTCTGGGCCTCACCTGCATCTCACCTGGGTCACCTGGGCTTCTCTGTTTGTGTGTGTTACAGGGGATGGGGTGTATTGAGTTGTCAGGGCTTCACCTGGGTTTCTCTATGTTTTTCAGGGGATGGGGTGTATTGAGTTGTCAGGGCCTCACCTGGGTTTCTCTATGTTTTTCAGGGGATGGGGTGTATTGAGTTGTCAGGGCCTCACCTGGGTTTCTCTATGTTTTTCAGAGGATGGGGTGTATTGAGTTGTCAGGGCCTCACCTGGGTTTCTCTATGTTTTTCAGAGGATGGGGTGTATTGAGTTGTCAGGGCCTCACCTGGGTTTCTCTATGTTTTACAGAGGATGGGGTGTATTGAGCTTCTACTATGCCAGTGCTGTGGAAGCAGTGGGGCTGAAGGCGTGTGTGCAGTAAGTATGGAACACTGGGAAGTGGGACTATCTATCACTCAAACTAGTTTTACAAAGTTTGTACATATGGTAAGAACACAGTGAAGGGTTTCTGAAGGTTCTGTCACAGAGCAAGCACCTGCCAGCACTGTAAATCCAGCAGCCAGATAACATCTCTGAAACCTATAATACATCTGATTAAGTTCCACACCTCCAGGAAGCAGCTTGAGATGTGATAACTAGCTATGAATTTATAACATAATGACATCCGGCTGAAGGAATATTTGTTTGCAGTCCTGTGTTTACGTTGATGAATTGTGTTCACATTGCAGACAGACTTCATTGTGTGTGGAGACTGTCAATCTTATTAAGGTCAAATGTTATATTCCTGTACATCTCTGGGTGAAGACCTGACTCCATGGCTGTCTTGACTGGTAAAGTCAACAAATAGTGTCATGGTTTCTACATTCTCAAAAGTGAGCAAACATTAAGACCTGCAAATGTGAATTGTTTTTTAAATGGTCAGGTTTGAATGCTAGTAATGAGATCTTCAACAATGAAATGTTTAGAACATTTATTGCTGAGCACAACATCTACATGCACCACAAGGGAATACGACCAGGACAAAATGTAAAAACCTCATTGAGGTTATTATGTAAAAACTAGTGGTCTCACACAATGGTCATTATCCATGCTAAGTTTCTAATGTCTGGTGAAAGATCCACACACAAGCCTTCTGTGGTGGGGCAGTCAGAACTTCACCCATAGATGTATGATATTGATAAGATGATCAGATGTGATCAGGTGAATGTCATGATGTGATCCGTCGAATGTCATGATGTGATCCGGCGAATGTCATGATGTGATCAGGTGAATGTCATGATGTGATCAGGTGAATGTCATGATGTGATCAGGTGAATGTCATGATGTGATCCGGCGATCCGGTGAATGTCATGATGTGATCAGGTGAATGTCATGATGTGATCAGGTGAATGTCATGATGTGATCAGGTGAATGTCATGATGCCAGCTAGTGGCTTGTATGCTATATCAGGGAATGTCTCACTTCACACTGCATCCTCACAGGTGGCGGTAACCATGGTAACCACTCACAGCACCTCAGTTAACCATAGCATGATTTTTCCCAAAAATTGAATAACATCTTCAAAGTCATATTGCACCTCAAACGCAACAGACTGTATGATGTTGTGTTGTCTGACATGTTTGTGTTGGCATGTTCTGTTTGTTTGAGATGTCTTATGTCAAGAATTACAAGAAGATGCTACTCACATGTTTTATCTGGGATGTGACGTTTGTGTATTGTGGGCATTGTTTAGGCACTTGAGACACATTTACAACAATTTGGATAAGATTATACAATAACTCATCTTTGAGTAACAAAACAATTATCTATTCTCTTTTGAAAGAATATAAAAGTACTGCATGTCGTGACCTTGTGTTGCAGGTGTATGTTGTGGTCATGCTAGTCTGCCGACTCTATGGCAGTCCTAGTTATGTGTGTTCCTCTGTTTCACTGTGGGGAGTTTAGAGATAGCGTCGCTGTCATATAGTCCTGTTCTTGTTGTCAGAGCTGCTATGAGTACGGCAACCAAACACAGCGTGGGCCTTGAGTGATCTCCCCTGAATATTGTCCACACACTTCCCTTGCAGTAAGTATAACACCCAGCCCTGTGGTGTCACTCTTCAGCAAGACACCTGGTATCACTCTGCTCGTTATCCCCAACATTACTAGTTGTATGAGGAGACTTGATAGATCTAGTTGGAAGGTTTGGTTACTAATTTGATCAATCCATAGATGAAGAAGACTGCAATTGAGACAAACATATATATTTTAATTACATATGGCAATGAACTGTAGTTGGGTGTTCATTTTTTAATATATATTATTTTTTTTCTCAATTTGCCCATCTGCTCAGTGTGATTTTATTTCAGGCACTGATCAAATATCTACAGGTAGTTGTGCAGACTAGTACCTGTTAAAACAGATATGAACGTATGTTCCTGTCACACTATCAAATTGTACATTTTACTCTTTTCCACTTGTTCTCTCCTTGGAGGTACTCTTCAGTAAAAGATGCTTGTGTATCCAAATATATAATTTTGTGGGTTTTGGTATTGTTTTATGAAAATTTATAAATCTTCATTCAACATACCTTGTTCATTCGGTTCTTATGTCTTTAATTTGTTTAAAAAACTGATGTTTTCTTTTATTTATCGATTGAAACAACCTTCCCTTACTCACAGACGGTGTGACAGAGGGTGTGGAGAAGAGGATGTGAGGGGTATGGCAGAAGGTGTTATAGAGGGGTGTGGGAGAAGGTTTGACAAAGGGTGTGGCAGTGGGTGCGACAGAGGGTTGTAGTGGAGGGAATGAGGGGTGTGGCAGAGAGTGTGAGGGGTGTGGCAGATGGTGTAACAGAGGGGTGTGGCAGAGGGTGTAAGGGGTGTGGCAGAAGGGGTGACAGGGTGTTGACAGGGATGTGGTAGAGGGTGTAGCAGTGGGTGTTGACAGAGGGTGTGGTGGAGGGTGTGAGGGGTGTGGCAGAGAGTGTGGGGGTGTGACATGCTGTAACAGACGGGTGTGGCAGAGGGTGTAAGGGGTGTGGCAGAAGGAGTGACAGAGGGTGTTGACAGGGATGTGGTAGAGGGTGTATCAGTTGGTGTTGACAGAGGGACGTGGTGGAAGGTGTAAAAGAGAGTTATGGTAGAGGGTGTAGCAGTGGGTGTGTTAGAGGGTGTTGACAGAGGGGTGTGGTAGAGGGTGTAGCAGTGGGCGTGACAGAGGGTGTAGCAGTGGGCGTTGACAGAGGGGTGTGGTAGAGGGTGTAGCAGTTGGTGTTGACAGAGGGTAGCGGTGGTGGACAAAGGGTGTAGCAGTGGGGTTAACAGAGGAGTGTTGCAGTGGGTGTTGTTAGAGGTGTTGCAGTGAGGCGTGTGGTAGAGGGTGTAGCAGTGGTTGACAGAGGGTGTAGCAGTGGGGCGTTGACAGAGGGTGTAGCAGTGGGGCGTGACAGAGGGTGTTTGCAGTGGCGTTGACAGAGGGTGTTAGCAGTGAAGCGTTGACAGAGGTGTAGCAGTGGCGTTGACAGAGGGTGTAGCAGTGGGCGTTGACAGAGGGTGTAGCAGTGGGTGTAACAGAGTTTTTGCAGTGGGTGTAACAGGGTGTAGCAGTAGGCATGGAGGGTGTAGCGTGGGGCGTTGACAGAGGTGTAGCAGTGGGTGAAACAGAGTTTGTAGCAGAGGGTGTTGCAGAGGGTGGCAGTGGGCGTTGACAGAGGGTGTAGCAGTGGGCGTTGACAGAGGGTGTAGCGATGTGGTGTAACAGAAGGGTGTAGCAGTGGCGACAGAGGGTGTTGCAGTGGGGCGTTGACAGAGGGTGTAGCAGTGGGCGTTGACAGAGGGTGTAGTGGTGTAAGGTGACAGAGGGGTGTAGCGGTGGTGTGAGTGGCGTTGACAGAGGGTGTAGCAGTGGGCGTTGACAGAGGTGTAGCAGTGGGTGGAAGAACAGAGGGTGTAGCAGTGGCGTTGACAGAGGGTGTGGCAGTGGGCATTGACAGAGGTGTTGCAGTGGGTGTAACAGAGTTTGTAGCAGTGGGCGTTGACAGAGGTGTAGCAGTGGGGCGTTGACAGAGGGTGTAGGTGTGGCAGTGGGTGACAGAGGGTGTAGCAGTGGGGCGAAACAGAGGGTGTAGCAGTGGCGTTGACAGAGGGTGTGGCAGTGGGTGTAACAGAGGGTGGTGTTGCAGTGGGTGTGGCAGAGGGTGTGGCAGTGGCGTTGACAGAGGGTGTAGCGGTGGGTGGCGCAGTGGTGTAGCAGTGGGTGACAGAGGTGTGTTGCGGTGGGTGCGTTAACAGAGTTTGTAGCAGTGGGCGTTGACAGAGGATGTGTAGCGGTGGGTGTGCGGCGCAGAGGGGTGTAGCAGACGGAGGTGTAACAGAGGGTGTTGCAGTGGGGCGTTGACAGAGGGTGTGGCAGTGGCGTTGACGGAGGGTGTAGCGGTGTAGGTGAGACAGGGTGTGCAGTGGGTGTAACAGAGGTGGTAGCAGTGGGCGTTGACAGAGGGTGTAGCAGTGGGTGTAACAGAAGGTGTGCAGTGGGTGTAACAGAGGTGTGTTGCAGTGGCAGGCGTTGACAGAGGAGTGTGGCGGTGAGGTTGACAGAGGGTGTTGCAGTGGGGCGTGACAGAGGGTGTTGCAGTGGGTGTGACAGAGATTCATCATCAGTGGGGTGTTGACAGAGGTGCTAAGCAGTGGGTGCGTCTTACAGTTGCGAGGCAGAGGGTGTTGCAGAGGTGTGGCAGATGCGATTGAGGGTGAAACAGAGGGTGTTACGAGATTGGGTATAACAGACAGAGTTTGTAGCGGTGAAAGAGGCGGTGAAGAAGTGTGCAGTGAGAGGCAGAAGAGAGAGGTGTTGCAGTGGGTGTTGACGGCGCTTGTAGCGAGTGGGTGTGACAGAGGGTGTTGCAGAAGGCATTGGCAGAGATCTGTAGCAGTGGAATTAGGCTGTGGATCTCATCGATAACAATCGTGCTCTAGAAAAGATATACAATCGGTCATAAAGGTCGTCGATGTAACAAAGTCACAACAATCGATGTAATAGAAAAATTATATAGTCGATGTAATCGTCTATGGCTCGCGTCATAGCAATCGTCTCAGCTCGAAGTCTCTTAATCCGGCGTCAATAAAAAATCACAACAATAATGATCATAACAAAGGTATCCTAAAGCAATCTCAAAGAATGCTTAAAGGTGCAATCGCGATGTAAATTAATAAGGTAAAGTCTCTGAAAGTAGTAACTAAGGAGCTCTGAAAAGAAGTATAGTCTCGGGAAATGCTTCCTATAAATAAAGTCTCTAAAGTCATAAACTAGTATTAACAAAGAGTATGCAGTATAAAGGAAATGCTTTCCCTATGAAAATGAAAGGAATCATAACAGAATTATGTAAACAAATTGACAAGAAATCCTCTTAAGTCTCACGAAATCTTTCCCCTATGAAGTAGAAAGGTAACAGAAAGATACCATAAGATTAATGAAGAGAATGCTACCTAGTAATAGGGAGTCTTTAAGAAAGGAGTCATGACAAATTGACAGAGGTTATAAAGAAGGTGTGACAGTGGCTGTGCGACAGAGGGTGCTGCAGTGGTAGAAGTGTGGCAGTGGAGTGTGACAGAATGTGCGGCAGTGGGTGTGACAGAGGGTGTGGCAGTGGGCATTGACAGAGGTGTGCAGCAGAGTGTGTGAGGGGAATGTGGTGGTGCTCGAGGGGTGTAGCAGAGGGCAGTGACTGGTGACAGAGGGTGTTGCAGAAGTGCATTGGCAGAGGATGTAGCTGAGGGGTGTGTAAGTGGGTAGAGGGTGTAGCAGTAGAGGGTGTGACTGGTGACAGAGGGTATAGCAGAGTGTGTGTAAGAGGGGAGTAACACTGTGGTAGAGGGGTGTAGCAGAAGAGGGAGGTGTGACAGGTGACAGAGGGGTATAGCAGAGTGTGTAAGAGGGGAGTAACACTGTGGTGGTAGAGTGGGTAGCAGAGGGGGGTGTGACGGGTGACAGAGGGGTATAGCAGAGTGTGTGAGGGGAGTAACACACTGTGGTAGAGGGTGTAGCAGAGGGTGTGACAGGTGACAGAGGGTGTGGCAGAGTGTGTGTGGAGGGAGTAACACACTGTGGTAGAGGGGGTAGCAGTGGGGTGTGACAGGTGACAGAGGGTGTAGCAGAGTGTGTAAGAGGGATGTAACACACTGTGGTAGAGGGGTAGCAGAGGGTGTGACAGGTGACAGAGGGGTGTATAGCAGAGTGTGTAGTGTGAGAGGGTGACAGTAACACACTGTGGTGGGGAGGGGTAACAGAGGGGTGTGACAGGTGACAGAGGGGTATAGCAGAGTGTGTGTGAGGGGAGTAACACACTGTGGTGGAGGGTAGCAGAGGGTGTGACAGGTGACAGAGGGTATAGCAGAGTGTGTAAGAGGGGAGTAACACACTGTGGTAGAGGGTAAGCAGAGGGTGTGACAGGTGACAGAGGGTATGCAGCAGAGTGTGTAGGGGCTAACACACTGTGGTAGAGGGAGCAGAGGGTAGCAGAGGGGTGACACAGGGATGGCTGACAGAGGGGTATGGGGAGTGTGTGTGGTGAGGAGGCAACACACTGTGGTAGAGGGTAACAGAGGGTGTGTGGGTGACAGAGGGGTATAGCAGAGGGTGGTGTGAGAGGGTGTGACAGGTGACAGAGGGTATGGCAGAGTGTGGTGAGGGAGATGGCTGTGGAGGGGTGTGTGACAGGTGACAGAGGGGTGACTATAGCAGAGGTGTGGGGTGTGGGAGGGGGTGGTGGGTAGGGAGGGGTGTGGTGGTGACAGCAGAGTAGGTGTGACAGGTGACAGAGGGGTATGTAGCAGAGTGTGTGTGGTGACAGAGGGGTAACACACTGTGGTAGAGGGGGTAGCAGAGGGGTGTGACAGGTGACAGAGGGGTATAGCAGAGTGTGTAAGAGGGGAGTAACACACTGTGGTAGAGGGGGTAGCAGAGGGGTGTGACAGGTGACAGAGGGGTATAGCAGAGTGTGTAAGAGGGGAGTAACACACTGTGGTAGAGGGGGTAGCAGAGGGGTGTGGCTGGTGACAGAGGGGTATAGCAGGAGTGTGGAGGGGTAACACACTGGGTAGAGGGTATAGCAGAGTGTGTAAGAGGGAGAACACACTGGTGTGAGGGGTAGCAGAGCACAGAGTGTGTAGCAGAGTGTAACACACTGTGGGTAGAGGGATGTAGCAGAGGGGTGTGACGGGTGACAGAGGGGTATAGCAGAGTGTGTAAGAGGGGAGTAACACACTGTGGTAGAGGGGGTAGCAGAGGGGTGTGACAGGTGACAGAGGGGTATAGCAGAGTGTGTGACAGGGGAGTAACACACTGTGGTAGAGGGGTGTAGCAGAGGGGTGTGGCATGGTGGTGTTATTGCTTCAGTGTCTGTATGTTGTTTCACCAGCAGCACCTGCACTGGCTACGATGGGTTAACAGCTTACTGTTGTCTTCATGTCAGCATCGACACGGTGTGGAAGAATAAACATCTCTCTCTGTCCTGTATGAAGTCAGGGTGGACATGTGTATTTTCAATCTCTGTTTTCTTGCATCTGTGCAACATTTTAGTGCAGGCTCCAGCACTTTAATCCAGCAAGCATGTGACAGTGTAATCTGTAAAAAAAATGTTGCATTGAAATTACAGAAGATAAAAAACAATATTTCTTTTTGCAGTTTACTGACAGATTAAAATTTCGAGCCCCTAACCCTCAACTTTCTTACTTGTTTTTTTTTTCTCCATCTGCACTATATTTATTTTCACCTTCATGATATTGTTAATTTTATATGCCACTTTGTATATTTGCTGTGATTCAGGGAAGATAAACCAGCCATCATCTTCATCTGAAAACAGGGTTTTTACTGGAATGTGGCTAAAAGCAGCATGAAAACAATCGTAGTAATGACATACTGTGTATATATTACTGATTCAGAGATTTCCATTTCCATACATTGTTCAGCCAGTTTGCCATGTCTGCTGTCCGTCATGTTTGACCTTTATTCTGACGCTGCTCTCGGTTCCAGTGTGGCCTCTGTCGTGCGTGTTTATTGTGCAGCTGTGTGCCTGACTGTCCCCCATGTCCACGCCCCTCGGATCATCCAACCATCACCTGCCTCTGTCTCACCATCCATATCAACATGTCACGTGACAGGTCATGTGACCCCAGCTCCGTCAAGTCCAGTCTGAGCCAGTCAAACACTTCCAAGGTCACCAACCAAACCGAACACAGTTCCAGAAACAACAATATCCCGTCTTTCACTGATCTCAACAAGCATACAGTGCCTCATACCGGTGATTCATCTGGACTCCACACTGTGTCACAGCACTTAAACAATCAACTCTCTGCCCAATCTCACACACATCTGGTGTCTTTGTTTCAAACCAAAAGTTCAGCCTTCCCTCAAGATCTCCCCACAGAAGCCTTTCCAGATGATCTCTATGGCAACAGAACGACTTCTTCTCCAAGAAATCTTCTCAGCACAAGCACAGCTCCAGGCTGCTTTCAACCAGAGCTCATTGATGCGGACGCCACAAGGTATCTTCAAAGTGCCTCACATTCCCGACTTCCACATTCCACAGTTTCCTTCCCACAATGTGAGCCTTCAACAGAATCCTCCACACAGACTCCACGCCAGTTTCCCATCAGACGAATCACACTCAGGTCCATCCCAAAGCGGAAGTTAAAAAATGCTCGAGACAGATTCACACCACGTGTGCTCAAGGTTGCTCGCCCTCTCAGGAAATCAGCTGTCAATTCTAGAATTGTCCAGAACAGTGTTTGGACTTCCAGGAAGGTTTTAGATCATGATGACAGAACCAGACAGTGGGCAATCAGAGCCAATAGTCCAGCCCCATGACAGGACAAACTGTGGAACACTGAACCTCATTGTGAACATTCATCTTCAGGAGACAAGACCAGAAATTCCAATTGTTTTGAAATATGAAACAGTGCAGATCTCAAATAGTTACCAGGGTGCCGTTCCACTAACCGATCTTATCCCTACGCCAATCGTAAACCCCTTAAAATCCCAATCTTAGCGTGACGTTACAATCGGCATACCGTTCCACTAACCAATCTTACCTAAGTCAATCGTAAAGTTAAGATTCAATGTCTAAGTTGCTCATGACCAATTTAGGATAGCTAAAATCAATCGTAGAGAAACCAAAATGGTGGCTTTCCTATTCTATGTGAAAAATAAGAGCGAGCATTTCACCGCGAGCGTCCCCTAAAATCCCCCATGAAATGAATTTGTATATTTCTGTGATGTAAACAAACACTGCACTGAAGCCTTACAAATGTCAGGCCAGTCTGACCACTGTCGTCATGGGAACACAACTGAGCGAGTCGGTGTAACACATTTGTACAACAATATTGCAACGTCATGGGACAGCTGTGAAGTGAACAATGTTCTGAAGCAAAAAAGATACAAATATGTTTGATTTCACTGGGCATATTTGGTTGGGGATTCTAAAGGCATGCCGCGTGTTATTCAAGACCACTGACAGATTCTACATACGTTATAGCCTCCTCACGGCTTGTTCATTCTGATTGACAAGATTCAGGCACATATTAAAAGCTCTGACACTATTGACATTTTTAAAGTTCAGACTTAAAACCTGTTCTCAGTATATTACTTATAATCTCGGCTGTAAATACTCTCGTGTAAATTATCTGTACATAGCGCTTTGAGCATGCCCCAGGATGTGGAATAGGCGCACTATAAATATACATTTATTATTATTATATAATGCATGATACCCAGCGTTCACACACACTTGCACCTGAAACCAAGGTGCTCACTACCCTAATATTTTGCTCTAGGTTTTTTCTCCACGTTTACACTTGGTTGGAAAAATACCCATGAAGGCCCGGATTAGAATATTGAACTTCAATAACCCATGCTTGCCGTAAGAGGCCACTAACGGGATCGGGTGGTCAGGCTTGCTGACTTGGTTGACACATGTCATCGGTTCCCAACTGCGCAGATCGATCCTCATGCTGTTGATCACTGAATTGTCTGGTCCAGACTCGATTATTTATAGCTAAGATACATAGCGTTCACTAACATGAACGCTCATGTTAGTGAACACTATGCATCTTAATTAGCTAGATTATTTACAGACCGCCGCGATATAGCTTGACTATTGCTGAGTGCGGCGTAAATCTAAACTCACTCACTCACTCAGTTGGTTCGTAAACTACTTCCATCATTTGCTAGACTATGCAAAGGGAGATAACTCGTGCCTCGGATTCCTCTATCTATCGCACAAAAGAGTCTCGATCTAAGCTTGGATTGGATCGGATCGGATCGGAAGATCGGGACCGGCTACGATCGGCCTAAGATCGGTTAGTGGAACGGGGGTAACTTTTAGCTAAGACGATTGTAAAATTGGCGTAACTTGCTAAGATTGATCTTAGATAAGATCGGTTAGTGGAACGGCACCCTGATCTTAAGTTGTATTCCCAAGAACAGGATAACAAATGATGAAGGAGCTTAGAGTTGGGGTCCTAATTACTACTCTTCAAGGTACAGTGTATATTCATGTTTTGTGTGCAGGAGAACAATATTCTCTGACAGGTTATGTGATTTGTTTTTAAGAAACCTTAAGGGTCAAATCGCAGGATTCACCTTTACAGATAATGCAAACCATTCCACATGTAGATTCTTTTTCAGGTGCTTTGCACGGTTTATCACATAGCATACGAACATTTTTTATGCATGATTTTCATGCTTTCTCACCTCATTTGCACTTATTGCATAAACCAAAACAATGACACTGTGTGCAGCCAAAACACCTTCATAATGTTGAGTACAACGAATATTGAAGCTGTATTTCCATAACCATATTGATATCAACAACACTCCATGAGTGGCGGAGATGAGGCGGGATTCAGCAAGTGTACCCAGACCATGTACCCCCTGTACAGAAGCCCCACCTTAAGATACCACCTTCAATGTGCCAAGTGATGATACCTTCATCTACTGTATTAGCCATATTAAGCAGCCTGCTCCGATATGCACCCGTTGATCCGTTACACCATTCAGTAAGCCGTGTTTGTAAGTTCCCGATACTCAAACTAAACATTTATGTCAAACTTTGTATCGTCCTGTGTATATTTCTCTTTTTTTGAACAGGAAAAAGTTTCCATTTGTTCTCAATTTTATCAGCTTGTGGTAAACCCCTTAAGCGCCTATATTTTATGAGCCCCATTTTTATTCATCTTAGCTCCAATGATGTTTATTATGTTAAATATGGTGTATTTGTTGTTTTGTCACACTACGACACACACTGATTGTCCAGTCATGGAAGATATTGACAGGTCACTGAGATTCAGTTGACACTACCAGTTATGTGACTCCTTATTGTTGTGATGAAACATGTCTTGATGATATATTGTTCACTTGTTTATATGTCTAATGACATGAGGCTGTTTGGTGTGTTTGACGGTTGTCATTCTATCAACAACTGGTATCCATGTCTAACTCCAACATATACCAGCCGCTTTGTTGACTCAAGCAGTGTAGGGTGTACAGCAGAGACCATGTATCAGTAACTGGTCTCGGTGTACAGGAATTGTTGTTCCAGACACAAAGGCGTGTTGAGATGATGTCGTGTGGAGCACAACTGAGGGAAGGGAGGGCACATTATGTCCGCCATGTGTCACCGTCAGCTGCTGCAACTTGTCTAAACACAAACAACCCAGTATTGTATTACACACACAATCAACAGTTTGAAACATAATATAACTCAATTACTCATTTATTTATTGATCCATCTGCTAAAAATTTAACAAATGTGAAAAAGAAAACAATAGCACATCTGAAACATGACAGCAGTGACTGTTGGCTGAGCAATACACACCTTCAGTAGCCAGTGGAAACATGAATATTTCCTGTTGATTTTGTGTTGTATTTTCTCATGGTTATTAACAGAATTCGATCGATTTGCTATGTGATAATATCAAAATGTTTCTATTTTTAATATTCTTGTTAAGACATTTGTCACAAGTATTTGTTGGTGTTAAATTATTTTGTGTCTGTGGGATGCCAATGCCCACGTCGTAATGTGCCAAGCTTGCCACATGCAAGGGAAGTAACTTTTATATGATGTATGTACAGGTGAATTGGTAGACTCACAGAGGTATCGTCCTCAGACAGGTGCCCTTGGATCACATCATTGTCATCATCATGATGCTTGTGGGTGGGATGCAGTTGATGAGGCGCTCTACCTGATACTGTAAACTGTTGTTGATGGGTCATGTTTAGTGATGATGAACATTTTAACATTGAAGGTCAGTCCTCCCTCTGTGTAAACCATTGCGTCTTGTTCAGGGCTACAAGGATGACATGTAATGTAGCAGTAGTTAGTAGTAGGTCATTCACAATCCATTTACATAAGACGGGATATATGAATGTGTACACTGAACAATGAATATATCAGAGTGTTTGGGGAAGGTGAAAACTATTCTCCACCTGGAGATGTCAAGCTAAGACATACCTACAGCCTTCCACACCAAGCTGTCTCAGAACACTGTGATGCTGTCTGTCCAGTAGTGTAAGAATTACTAAGGTAGAGTTTTGTGAGGATATTACCCTGCAGTTGATGATGGCCAGGCCAAACTGATACACTGTATCTCTATACTGTGGTGCTTAGTCTCATTAACAAAAACAAAGGACATTGTTATTCAGTAGTTAGAATTTCACCACCGAGAAAATCTGTCTCTAGTCAGTTTTCACTGTGATTCTGTTCTGATGGAATGTGAAAATGATTCAGTAGATTAAAAAACCTGTAGAGACTGTTAAACCCACATTGTTGGTAGATAGGTTGCTTGTCCCTCTTGAAGCCAAATATCTTATTTCTTTTGTAAAGTTTCACTCATCATATATTGGAATAGAATAATATATATTTATTTTTAATATCATAGCCAGTTTCAGAATCATGCCTAGTTTTTTCTCTAACTAAAGTATATTTATTTCATTAAATTGACATTGAAATACAGAAAATTATCTGGTGCCATGTTTTGTACCAGTTCCATGGCAGTAGCTGTGTGACTTGCCTGTCACCTGCATCCTGGGCTTCTGTGGATAATGTGCTGACTCGTCACTTTGATGTCAGTGTCAACACTGTGGGAACTGCT